CAGCCAGACAAAGACAAGAGGGGAAGGGAGGTGTGAAGGTCCAAGGTCAGCATACTGGGCCCTGTGGAGAAATGGCAAGCAGGCCCATGCAGCAGATTCCATCGATGGTCTCATCAGTGCGGCATTACTTCGCCTGTCAACTGGGGCTTGTGAGGATTAAACTCTTAGCACCGAACAGTGTGCGTTCACTAAGTTAGAGTGGCTGGAGTCCTATCCTCATCGGTGTCATCATCAGCACCCTTTGTATCACCATGTCACCATGTCATGATACAATGTCAGGTTATCACCAAAGGTGTGTGGGCAGAGCCTGGGAGGACCTCACAGGCGATGGTGAAGTTTGTCCTTGAGGGTCCCAGCTTAGAAATGGTGAAAGAAAGGAATGCAACATTGTTACAGTCAGCCTTCCTACCCGGGATCTTTTTAAGAACATTTGGAAACCAACAACAAGGTGGCCCATAACTGACTGATTCATTTAACAAATGGTTCCTCCCTAGCTGAGAGCCCTCTGTTTCCTACCTCCCAAGTTACAAAAGTCAACATGCTTCTCCTTGCCACACAGACAACCTAGCAGCACTGTAGCAGCCCTGAGAAGGACAGAAGGAGGACTTAATCTATACGAAAGACTACCTTTCATCTGCTGCACAAGACGTTGCTTTTTTGTTTTGTGTTTTAATTAATCACTTCACAAGGCCCACTTAAAAAGGTTGAAAAGCAAGGATGTTATTCTGAGGACTAAATTCGGTGTGCCTGACCCAAGCCAGGTAATTCCAGTCGCCTCCTGTGCATGTGAAAGTTGGGCCCCGAATAAGGAAGACTGAAGAATCTATGCATTTGAATGATTGTGCTGGTAAAGAACATGGAAAAGCTGGACTGCGGAAAGAAGAAACAAATATGTCTTAGGAAAAGTGTGGTCAGCATGCTCCTTCGAGGGAAGGAAAGCAAGACTTTGACTCGTGTTCTTTGGACATGGTCTTAGGAGAGACCAGTCCCTGGAAAAGGACAGCATCCTTGGTAAAGTAGCAGGGCAGTGAGAAAGAAGACCTTTGACAAAAAGGACTGGCACAGTAGCTGTATCAATGGGCTCGGCATAAGAACAGTTGGGAGGACGACCCAGCACCAGACAGTGTGTCATTCTGCTGTACATAATTAGGGTCCCTCTGAGCGGGAATAGGCTCGAGGGCACCGAACAACCACCGCCCTTCATCTATGTCAGTTGCTGACGGACTGAAGTAGCAGGAAGAGTGCTCTTCTACTTTCTATGCGTCACACACCAGTCTCATATTTCAGGTGTAGAATGCTCCTGCCGGGAGTTGACACATCACATAGTTCAGTGGCAACATATTTCACTTTTTAAAAGGGCATCGTGTTTCGGCCTACTCTCTTAAAAAAAGAGAGGGGTGTAAGACACGCAATAACAATAATATAGACTTGATGAAGGGTTTGGGAGGGTGGGAGGGTGGGGTAAAAAGAGGAGCTGATACCAAGGGCTCAAGTAGAAAGAAAATGTTTTGGAAATGTTGATGGCAACATATGTACAAGTGTGCTTAGCACAACTGAATGATGGACTGTTATAAGATTTGTAAGAACCACGCCCCCCAGCCAATAAAATGATTAATGAGAAAAAGAAAAAAAAGATCAACAAATCCCACAGAGAGCATGTCCAAGGAGGAGCTATAAAAATACATGTATTAGATACAGGCAAGTCCTTCATCTTAGCCTGGGCTAAAACCTCGTCTCACTATGGGGGTTTTGCAGAACCACTAGACATTATCACTCTAACTAAAAGCATCAAAAAAGTACGTCCCAGAAAGTCAGACTGGGACTAACAGGCCCATTCACATCCATCTTTATCTACTGGCTTTCGCAACATAATCCAACCCAAGGAACGTGACTCATAACTCAGATATGCCTCAGCTACATTCTCAGTGTGCTTTGAAGGAGGACACACACAAAGTGACAGTCATAACACTGGCATGGGAATAATACAAGCAATTTGAGAGCCGCCTCCTTTAAAAAATAGAAATAAAAAATAAGTATTATGGGCTCACTGAAGAACTTTGGAAAATACATATGAGCAAAGAAGAAAACTAATATTCCCAACATACAGAGATAATACTCATCAACATTTAGGGTATACGCTGCTAAATGACGTTTTTTACAAAACATCTATTCCCGGTAATGGGCTAACATTACACATATGGTTTTACTTGATATCTTAAGAACACAGTCCATGCATACACACACACACACACACACACACACACACACACAATTTTCACAAACACATCAACTTCTGCTCTATGGCTCTGCCTTAATTTACTTAAGCCCACTGAGATGCCATAAGTATGTTCAGAGGCCCCAGGGTAGAGTAATTGTGTAGGTTTATCACTGTTCCCTAAAGTTACTTGACCAAGACACCCCTTTTTGAGTTAGACATTAATAATCCTAGACCTCGGAGTAAGACATTTCATAACCTTTTCATAACAATTTCAGAAATAATGGATTAATGAACAATCCCCAAGAGTGGATTTTTATATATATATATATATATGTATTAGAACGGATTTGATGGCAGCATGTTTACTTTTAGTTTATATATTTTTATACATCACATGTAATTCTTATTATTTTACATATTATATGTAATATATGATTATAACTAATCCTGAGCTTGATTTCCTTTTTTTCCTTGGGGTGGGGGTAAATGTCTAGAAATAGAATCATTGGGTCACTTGGTGTGCACATGTTAAAAACATATATTAAAAATCCAAAACTGTCCCTAAGCAGTCATCCCTTTAAAAAATCACAATTTTCAATTTAAAGAAAAGTGTGGACGTATAAGTGCTTGTCATCTATAGCTAGTATTTTTAAAGACATAGAATTGCTTTCTTATGGAAGGGTTAAATATTCATAAGTATGCAAAGTTATTTACTATAATGGAGATGGACACAAAAAAGAGTTTAAGGATATATTTCCTCACAATTACCAGAACATAACAATCATAAACAATAGTCTCTGTTCCATTTTACTTGTTACATTTATGTTTCTGGATATATATTCTATCCTCTTCCAAAGATATGAAGAGTCCCTTATTATACTTCCCTTTATAATAACCAGATCATTAAAAAGCAAAATGATTCCAGCAGAATACAATAGTCTTGAAGTTATGTTTTAAAACAAGTTATTAAACCGTACCCCCCAACAGGTCCTTCAGCCTACATAACAATCACATATTAGAGACCAGTCTATAATAACCCATGTCCTTACCAACCAACAATCATGGGGAAATAATGTGTATCTTAAAGCAGTTTGTTTCAATATATATTTCTGCGATTTCAATTCATAAGAAATCAGTTCCTAGCATAATATAAAGATGGTTTGCATGGCCTCCCACCCTCACCCTATAAAAAGGCTTTGTTGGTTCCTTTGTTATTTTTAAAGTGACAGTAGATGTAATCTGGTATCTCAAAGTGACTCTTAAAGTGACTCAAATAGTGTTCAGACCCAGGGTGGGGCTTTGTAAAAGTTCCAAAGCTCTGCCTGCTCAGAAATACCTGCCCCTCCCCATCCCACCCCATCGTCCCAGCCCCGGCCCCCCTTAAGCCTGCAGAAACCACCAGAAGGAGAGGTTCTCCTGAGGAAGCAAGAACTTCCTATAGTCTCCACCAATACTTTTGGTATTACTGGGTTAAATCAGCAGCCCTTACTCCTGGTTTTATCTCAGAATCCTATTAGAAACTTTTAAGAAACACAGAAATTATTATTCAATCAGTCTGGAGTAGAGCCAACGCATCTGCATTTTTCAGAAAAAACACAAAAACCTCCCCAGTTGATTCACTTGTACTGCCAGAGTCCAAAAGCTCTCAGCTGAATAAAAAAGATCAGGGGGAGAGGCATTATACCGAGAGGTTCCCAATTTAAATGTTCATATAAAACTCATTAATCTGTTTATTAGATTACTATGTTAGTCTGGGTAAACTAGGGAAACAAGTCTACAGAAACTCATGTATAAAAGAGAGTTTTATATAAAGGGTAAGTGCACATTAAGAAAGCATCCCAACCCAGTGCTGTCCAAGCCCATAAGTCCAACATTAGCCCATACAGACAACAATCTACAAAGTCCTCCTCAATCTCACAAAACATGCAATGAAGCCAACTGCTGGAGGAAAGCCAAATCAGTGAGCATGTAAGCATCTCAGCACTAGCAGAGGTCTCCACACAGCTGCTCAAGCGCCCAGGGCTGCATCAGGGTAGGTCCATGTGGCTTCTCCTTGGGGATGTCTTGCAGGAAGTGAGCTTGCCAGCTGAAGCAGGGAACTGGCCAAGGGAGCTGCACCCTGGTCCGACCATCACAAAGCAAGAGACCTGAGAACTCGAAAGGCGAGGCTCACTGAGCCACCCTTCAAATAATCCCACGTGTTCATCGGCCAGGTTGGCACAATGAACCGTAACTATCTCAATTACCAAAGTGAGAACTGTACCTTGAGGAGTTCTAACAAGTATTCCAAAGGAATGAAGGGTTAGGGTGAGGAGATATGGCAATAAAGTCAAAAACCAAATCTGCCAGAAACTCAGGCACTTCCTACTCTAACTCCTTCAAGCTCAAAAAATAGGGTACGGAGTTGGACAATCCACTACAGACAGCAGTTTCTCCAAGCAAGGCCAGTCAACATCCAGTAGACAAAATCAAGTGGAGAATTTAAGACACGACACTAAGAGATATTATTGTTTACAAGACAATTAGCATTTGTCAGAGCAAACAGAAATAGACGCAAGCATGAACAACTGTGAGGAGGATGCAGGCAGGGCAGGGCAAGGCAGGGCAGCATTTCATTCTGTTGGGCTTGGGGACACTCTGAGTCAGAACCGACTGGACAGCAGTGAACAAGAAGCTTGCCTCCAAAGAAGCTTGCCTCCAAAGAAGCTTGCCTCCAAAGAATCATGGCAAACCAAGCCAAAAGCACTGATGCCGTCTGGTTTTGTAAGCTCCCATTACCTACCAGATCTGCACTTGATGATGTCGCTGAACTCATTTTGTCCCTGCTCTGGTAGGGCTTCATGTTCACCATACTTGGCCATCTTTGCTGAGCTTCAACGTAATCCAAAGACTTTACTCCTTTTTAAGGCATTCAGTTTTACATAAGGGTCCAACTTGACATTAAAACCTAAAAAGAAAGGAGAAAGTATTGAATGAATAAATTGTTATTAGCTGCCATTGAGCCAGAGGCTCATCCAGAAAACTCACACAGACATTGAGCTGATTCCCACTCAAAGCAATACTGTAAGATTGTATGGAACTGCCCCTGCCCCTCTGGCTTTCCAAGCTATACATTTTGTGTGTGTGTGTGGGGAGGCAGGGGGGCAGTAGAAAACCTCATATTTCTCACGCAGAACAGCTGATGGATTCCAACTGCTGGCCTTACGGTTATTAGCCCAACGTGACTCATGGCAACCCCCAATTCATGGCATCTCAGGCACAACAGAACAAAACACTGCCCGGTTCTGCGCCATCCCCACCACCAGCTGTGATCCACAAGGTTTGCACTGGCTAACTTTCAGAAGTAGTTCTCTAGTCTTGTCTCTCTTCTCTTAAACTAGAAGCTCTGCTGAAGCCTGCTCAGCATCATACCAACATGCAAGCCTCCACTGAGAGGAGCTGGTTGTTCTTAAGTGCCATCGAGTTGGTTACAACCCATAGCGACCCTAGGCACAAGAGAACGAAGCACTGCACGGTCCTGAGCACAGAGTAGTGGCTGTGAATGAGGTAGGAACGAGCGGAGAATCGAACTCCAGGTGGAAGGCCCCCATGAATACATGTAAATGTACACACATGACACCCATAGAGTAAGCATTTGCCTATCAAATACAGGCATACTTTATTTCATTGTGCTTTGCAGATAATTCATTTTTTACAAACGGAAGGTTTGTGACAACCTGTACTGAGCAAGCCTATGAACCTTTTTCAATAGCACATGCTCCCTTCATGGCTCTGTGTCACATGTTAGGAATTCTTCCAACATTTCCAACTTTTTCATAATGCTACTGCTCACTTAGCATCTACAGTAAATGGAAATATAGAGTTTATATGCACTTGGGAATCAGACAGCCCAGGGGGCTCACTTTATAAGATATTCTCTATGTGGTAGTCTGGAACCAAACACAGCATCACTGAGATGTGTCTATTTACTGAGCGCCTCCAGAGGAAACAATACATCAAAGGAAGCATCCCATTGGCTACATCTGTTGCAAAAGAACTCTTCAAAGTGTTCAAATGCAAAGATGTCACTTTGAGGACTAAGGTACACCTAACACAAGCCATGGTATTTTTAATCACCTCCTATGAATGCAAAAGCTGGACACTGAATTTTTTAAAAAAGACAGGAAGAGTTGACGCATTGGAATTATGGTGCTAGCAAAGAATGCTGATGGACTGTCAGAGAATGGCCAAATCTGTCTCTGAAGAAAGTCAGAATGCTCCTTAGAAGCGAAGATGGCAAGACTTCAGCTAGTCGTCCCTAGAGATGGACATCAAAGGTTGATAAAGAGGAGGGTCAGCAAAAAAGGGGGAAGATCCCCAATGAAACTGACTAACAGAATGGTTGTAACAATGGACTCAAACTTGGGAATAACTGTGAAGACGGTGCGGGACTGGGCAGTTGTTCATTCTGCTGTGCCTAAGAGCCACTATGAGTCGGACACAACTCAAGAGAATCTAACAACAACAACTGTGTGCGATGACTAAGCTAGATCATGAGAACATGGCCACCAACAGGAGCCGCAGGCTCTTGCCTCATGGAGTTCATGAGCATCAGCAACTAATTATATCATTAATTATTTCATAGCAATGTCTATGTGCTACAAATGTACACAGGAGACACCTGGAGTAACAGGAGCATACAGCAGAGGTATGTGACCTACCCTAGGACATTAGAGAAGGCTTACTTGAAGAAGGGACATTTGAGCCAAGCCTTCAAGGATGAGAATAATTTAATTACTTAACAAGGGAGGTGGGAAGAGACAATCCTAAAAGCATCTCAAGAAAAGTGTCACAAAAGATCACAGAGCCTTCAAGGAGCTGAGTAACGGCCAGTTTCTGGGGAGGGAAAAGTGCCAAGAACGCAAAGCTGGAGAGGTTGACGGGCAGGACCAGGGCCTTGAGGCTTTGGCCTTTATCTGAAGAGCCATCAAGTCCAGTAGATCCTTCTAAGCTAGAACACCATCAGAAACCTTTTTAAAATATCCTGGCATGAAAATGTACCACTGTGATACATGGGGAATCAAGTAAGACTATGGCAGAATATAGCAAAATGTCCCATGAAGAACCCAGGGCATATATATCAATATTGATGGACAGTTCCCCCAACTTTTACGTTTTTTGTTGTTGTGTTAGTTTGTTTGTTTGTCTATCAGACATTATATCAAAGCTGAATGTCTTTATCATTGATGAATGGTTTTTGTAGTTATACAGGAGAAGGGCTTTGACCATGGAAGACAAGGTAAAATGTAGCAATGAAGAGTAATACTGTTGTCAACTTATGTTCAAACAGGGCATCATACAGAAATTCAGAGAGACAGGGACAGATGAAGTCAATATTGCAAAATAATAATAGGGGACTCTAGGTGAAGGGCAAAGGAGCCCTGGTGGCATAGTAGGTTGTGTTGGGCTGCTGACCTCAAGGTCAGCTGTTCAAAACCACTAGCTGCTCATCGGGAGAAAGCTGAAGCTTCCTAATCCCATTAAGAGTTTCAGTCTCAGAAACCCACAGAGGCAGTTCTACTCTGTCCTATGAAGTCGCTACGAGTCATAACCGAATTAATGGCACTGAGTGAGGTGAAGGGCATATGTGTGTCTTCTGTGCTAGTGTTGCCATTGTAATGTGACAGGCAAGGAATGATGGTGGCCAAAATAAAAGCACGTGGAAAGAAGTGGGTAGATAGGTGGGATATTTAGATATTAAATGAAAATCCAAAGGATTTGAGGATTGATTTGGGATGAGAGGTTCTAAATATTAAAGTGAAGATGACAAAAATAAAAGCAGTTGGATATTCCAATCTGGATCTTAGGAGCGAGTCAGGATTAGATCCACAAATCTGGATAGTTAGGAGCTGATACCAAGGGCTCAAGTAGAAAGAAAATGTTTTGAGAATGATGATGGCAACAAATATACAAATGTGCTTGACACAATGGATGGGTGTATGATTGTGTTAAGAGCAGTATGAGCTCCCAATAAAATGATTTTTTTAAATGCCCCCCAAAAAATCTGGATAGTATTATTTATTTACATAGATTCTGTCATGAAAATATATCTATAAATTCTACTGAATATAGATACCACTCAAATAACATAATCTTAATCTTTAGTAATTAATTGAAGACATATTCCAAATTGAAAGAACTGGGATTCCACTTTATCTTTACAACAGCTAATAGCTGAAGCAGTGCTTTGCCCTCCTAGTTCCTGGAAGACACTGCCCCAACAACCCAAACAGAATCAGAATGTGACTTCAGGTTCAGCAGCTTGGCTCGGTTCTGCCAACAGCTCCTGATCAACTCCAAAACCCAAACTCACGGCCGTCAACTTAATTCCTACTCATAGACTCTACAAGCCAGAGCGGAATTGCACCTGAGGATTTCCCAGACCGTGCGTAACTCTTTACCAGAGGAGAAAGCCGTAACTCCTTACCGGAAGAGCCATTGGTGGGTTCAAACCACTGACCATCTGGTTAGCAGTTCGACGAGCAGTCCACTATGCCACAGAGCTACTTCAGGATATGTCATATGGTATATTATTTTATAACATTTTAATATTTTAACTAAATGATAATTTCACATCTTACATTGTACATAGTATTTTGGAATACATGGGAGCTTGGAAAAGCAGAATTAAAAGTTAACGCATTTTTGCTATGAACTTTTTAATCCCACATATGACCACATTTTCTATAGTATATACAATTTTATGTATCTATTACATAATCATTGTACTATTTTCCTGACCAGGTCAGGAAAAAGGGGGTGTTCCAGTAATTTAGAAGCAAAAATTATACATAGGATAAGTTTTAAGTGTTAAAAAAGTTTGAGCCAGATGAAAATGCTGAGAGATTGCTAGAGCTAGAGGAATAATTTCCTCGCCAGTAGGGAGGAATATGGCTTGGCCCATAAGTCTCCAAGATTTTATGAGCACATTAAAAAAAAACTTTTATTTTTTTATTGTTCTACTACTGTTAAGCCTCTGTGGATTATGATGTGATTAAGTTCTTCTCTTTATGTAAAGCTTTGCTGGATGTAAAGCTTTGCTGGATCCTTAAATGTATTTTATTATGTTCCAGAACCAAAACCCTGTTCAGAAGAATGCACATAAAATTTTATTATGAAAAATGCCTTCCCAACAAAATTTCTCTTTACTGGAAAGCAACTATCCCCTCTGAAAGAAGATATTCCTCATCCATTCCTTCCCATTTGGTCTCAGCCAATGATTCCCTAAGACTGTCCCCACCCATGAAAGAAAGTCAACTGTTTACACAGGGCTCTGTTTAATATGCACCTTCCCAGTAATAATCCTTCATGGTTATGCTTCTGTTTGCTACTGTCCTTCATTAAGATAATCTCCCATATCCTCTCCTTGATAAAGAAAGCCCTTGCGTGCTGCAAAGATCCAGCAGAAAAGGGGGTCAGAAGAGAACATAACAGACGACCATCTAACGGCTCACTGCCGCACCAAGTTAGATGAGGAACTGAGAAAAAAATCAATGGGATATTTTAAGACCTGCACAATTGTCATTTATTGTCCCCAAGGCCCACTTTCTCTTCCTGCATAATGATGTTCTGCAAAGTTGAGACGACGGTTTCTTCCTGAAACCAATATAAACGACTATTTACTGTTCATGTTCACCAACTCTTTCTTCAGAACTTTTCTGGCTTTCAGATGAACCAGAAACTAACAGCGTGCAGCAATAAATTTGGGGATGCAAGTGGAGATAGTGGATTACCTTAAAGCCAAACTTCACAGTGTAAAATAATTTGAGAATCACACAATATAATGCACATATTACCACTTTTATATATGCATATATACACATATATTTAATTGAGGTTTTCCTACCAAAACAAAAACAGACTTTGATGGTTACCAGAGATGGGAAGGAATAGGCTACACA